TTTCATGCCTTATATAATTTTCACTCATTTTTGTGCGATTTACCATGTTGGTTATGTCAGTCTTTTCCAATAAAGATGTGATCTAAGACTACCCCATGGCCTTGCATGCACAGTATCATGCTTGTTTTGTGCTCGTGCCACTTTTTTTCCATGTTGAATTGTGTCATGCCATATAACGACTAGCCCAGCCCAATATCATATGCTTTCTCTGTTATAAGAATATTGTAACAACTGAATTTTTGCATGCTCTATTTATTATTCTTATTTGACCACATATTACGATTTATATGTAAAAAAAAATAGTCATGTAAATATACAACCTCTGTTTCATAAACCTATTGAACATTTTATATCTCACAAATAATACCCCAAAGTTGCAAATAATATGAAATGGAGGTAGTTGTCAAAATGATAACTGCTACCCAAAATGCAATCACCGAATAGATTTTAAAAAACAAATCACTTATGTCTAATTCTCTTCACCTTATTCAAAAAATATTCAATAAAAATGTTTTAAATTTTACATTAATAAGTTTTAATTACTCAATAAAAATAAGTAGTTTTAAAGAACAAATATAGCAGAGAATCAGTATATATATATATATATACATATATATAATACTTGTAAATTTTCATTAGTAATAATCTATATCTATATATATACTATACTAAAGTAATCCCCAGAAAAATTCGTAGATTACACATGTCAACACCACATAAAAAAATTTCCCGCAAAAAACCTTTTTTTTTTTTTATTGTTGTAATTTTTCTTTTCTTTTTAGAAAAAAATAGTTTCAAGTTAGTTTCAAAACTTGATATTTAAAAGCAACAATAACTAAAAGCCAAATTTATCAGGGTAAAAAGGTAAGATAGATAATTTCAATTTTAACATATATAATCCTATGTTGAATTTAACCGAATAAAAAAAAAAAAAGAAATGTTTGTTATTGCATATAAATAATTTCAGTTATTGATCTATTAAGTAAGTCAACATACAAAATTAATTTTTCATATTATGTATAAAAATAATCCTATTATGTATTAATTGAAAAAACCGAGCATAGCTAAGGCATTAACTAGTAAAATATTAAAGAAAGTTTAAGTTCAATAAAAATAAATCTAAATTCAATAATAATAATTAAATTCAATAAAAATAATAATTTAAATCCGGCAAAAAAATTTAAGTTCTATAAAAATAATTTCAGTTCAGCAAAAATAATTAAAGAGAAATTGACCTAACACTTATTTTTACAGCCACTCTATTGTGTTTGTTTTTTAAAGTTATTAATTTAACTGATTACAGTTTTTTTTTTAACTGTAAAACTTTTTTTTTTTTCTAAATTGAAATTATTTTTAGCAAATTAAAATATTTTTTACTAAATATTATTTGAATAAGGTGAATAGAGGTCTAATTTCAAAGAACGATTATAATGTTGTTTAGTAAATATAATTTCAAGTTTAAAATTTTAATTTAATTCAGTAAATAATAGGTGAAGACTATATGGTCTAATCAAAGTTACTTTCATAAATCTACAAATCTGCAATATATTAGGCATTATTTGACATAAAATAAAAGATTATAAAAGAAAGTCACATTGAAGAATATGGAAAATTATACTTGTAGAAAGACTAAAAGGTCAAGTGAACCGCATCACATTATTTATATTTTATTTTTTATTTGTGGGAACAAGGGGCAAACCCACCCCATCACATTATTTCAAGTTGAAAATAAAGTTATTTAAATATTTGGAACATTGTATCTTTTTTTTTTTTTTTTTTTTTTTTGAAGAAGAAATGGAACATTGTATCTAATTAAACAAAAAGAGATTTAATAAGGCTAATATAGTGAACGTTTTTTCTTCTTTTCATAAATGACATACACCCTACTCCTAATTTAATTGACTCACTTCTTTTCTTACCATCAATGACGTGAATTCACTCATTCTTTATTACGAGTAATTTTTTGTCCTACTTTTGAACTACATATCTACTGACTACTCCCTCTATTTTTAAATGATTGACAAGCTCTTGTCAATGTATTATTTTACCAAAAAAAGAACATAATTCTCAAGTTATTGTAGTTATTACAAATTAAAATTGTCAATTAACTATGGGAGAAATATAATGGAGTATATATAAACCTATTTAACTAAGTCTCAAAGATTCCACAATAACATGGTGTAGTGGCCATGGTTTAAAGAGGTAGAAAAACATGAGAAATATTTAGGAATGCCTACTATCATTGGAGAATCGAAAAAGACAATTTTTGCAAGTTTAAAGGAGAGGATTTGGAAGAAAATTCAAGGGTGGAAAGAGAAATTATTATCGAGAGTCGGTAAGGAAATACTGATTAAAGCTATTGCTCAAGCAATTCCGACGTATATGATGAGTATTTTTAAGATTCCAAAATATTAACATAGTGTAGTGGCCATGGTTTAAAGAGGTAGAAAAACATGATAAAGATTTAGGAATGCCTACTATCATTGGAAAATTGAAGAAGACAATTTTTGCAAGTTTAAAGGAGAGGATTTGGAAGAAAATTCAAGGGTGGAAAGAGAAATTATTATCGGGATCCGGTAAGGAAATACGGATTAAAGCTATTGCTCAAGCAATCCTGACGTATATGATGAGTATTTTTAAGATTCCAGACGGACTTCTCGATGAAATTCATTCATCACTGGCACGGTTTTGGTGAGCTTCCTCGGATTCGGCTAGGAAAATGCATTGGCATAGTTGGACTATTTATGTAGGACGAAATTGATGGGCGGTATGGGATTCCGTGACCTTAGAGTTTTCAACCAAGCTCTTCTAGCTAAGCAAATTTGGCAACTTTTTTCGAATCAATCCTCTTTGCTCCACGTAATCCTAAAGGCTCGTTATTTTAAGCTTAGCTCGGTTGTCGAGGCTAATAGAGGTTTTGATCCGAGTTACACTTGGCGTAGCTTGTGGGGTTCCAAATCTCTACTGCTAGATGGACTTCGGTGGAGGATAGGAAATGGAGCAATTGTTCGTGTTTGGCTGGATGCTTGGCTGCTTGGGACTCTAGCAAAAGTTCCTACAGGTGGTCAACATTATGACCCAAATTTGCAGGTGTCAGAGTTGATTGATGCACCTTCGACTAGCTGGAATTATGAGGTGTCAAGGGAGCTTTTTTCAGCTGACGACTGTAAGTCTATTCTTCAAATACCCTTAGCTTTTTCTATGCCTGATGATTCAATGTGTTGGGGGCTATCAAAAGATGGCATCTACACTGTAAAATCTGGGTATTGGCTAGGAAGAATGGGCCACATCACTGGAGCGACTGATGAAGCTGTGGATGATGAAAAGGAAGCTTGGCGTATTATTTGGAAGTTGGGTGGCCCGCCGAAACTTAGCCATTTCTTGTGACAAATGTGTAAGGGGCGGGTTGCGGTTAAGCAAGAGCTCTTTCGAAGACGTATCTTAGGGGATGAGCTGTGTAGGGAGTGTGACGGTAGAGTTTGAATCAATCATCCATGTGCTTTTTTATTGTGATGCAGCAAAGGGTGTCTGAAATACTAGCCCTTTTCGATTTATTTTGAATGATTCTCCTAACTCCTCATTTGCTTAAAGCTAGTCTAGCTTGTAGGTAAGTTAGATCGGCATGAATTGCGTGTCTTATGTGCCATGGCTTGGTCGCTTTGGTTTCGGAGGAGCTAGAGGGTTCATGAGGGCTTGTCCCTTAATGCTTTTTACACAGCAGCGGGCTATGTAAAGCTCATTGAAGACTATTGTACGTATGCCAAGAAAGTGTTCTCAAGCCAACCTCGAAGTTCAAAGTTGTCGTCAACGACTTGGATTTGTCCCTCATAAGGTTTTATAAAAAAGTAAATGTTAACGCTCATCTAACTAATTCCTACATGGGATTGGGAGCAGTAGCGAGAAATCATCGGGGGGAGCTTGTATGGACGCCGGTTAGACGAGTTGAGAGTGTGTGGGAAATGGACTGTGCTGAGGCAGCTGCGGCACGTTTTGGGCTTTCAGCGGCTAGGCGGCTAGGTGTGACACGAGTATGGCTGGAAGGAGACTCTTCTTCAGTGTGTGAGGCAATCAACATATATTGGCTCTAGAGGTCGCTCTTCCATTTGGTTAATTTATGATGATATCATCTTTTTATCAGTCTTTTGATGCTTTTATTTTTTCACATGTACGGAGAGTAGGTAACACGGTAGCCCACCTTGTGGCAAGATGAGATACTCGTGGTTGTTCAGAGTTTGTCTGTATGGGTTCGTTCCCGCAAAGTCTTGTAATTTTAGCGAATTCTGATTTATAATAAAATGCCTGCCTAATGTTTCCTTAACAAAAAAATGGTGTAGTGGCCATAGATACATCTTTAAAAAAAATAATAATAAATAAACCTTTACTATAATATTAGTAAAAATATATTAACACAAAAATTAGTTGATATTATTATAAAAGGTTATTATTTTAGTACAGCACTACCTATCTAAAAAAAATTGACATGATTTTATATATTTTTGATGTGTTAGTATAAAACTTAGTCTAAAAATATAGTTAAAGTTAGTATATAAATAATTCGAAAAATTAAACTCCAGTTATTCTAAAACAAAGGAAGCTTAAAAAAAATGCTCCACTAGACACTACCAACTGTTGCCTCCGTTATATAAATATTGCTACTTACTATTCATGAAAATCAAGCTTAAAAACATTTATAATATATTGCTACTTATATTCATTAAAAAAATTTATGTGACATCTTGTCATAATCATTACAATTTATAATATACAAATATCAAATTTTCATTATTTAAATACATAGTAGGTCAAGATAGGGGTGTTCAAAATTTGGTCCGGACTGTCCGGTCTACGGGTCGAGATTTTTATTTTTCCGGTCCAAAACTCTAAAAAAAACCGGCCTTGGAACGGATCGGTTTTTTGCTTAAAATTATACATAAAATCTTTAATAATGATTAAAATTATCCTTAACAAGATTGGAAAAATTTAGTCGTATGAGTTTTTTTGTACTAAACATACAAAAAAAGATGTTAAAATATTGTTTTACAAAAATTCTAAAATCGGTCCGGTCCAGATTTTGGACCGATTTTTTCGGTCCGGTCCGGATTCGGTCTTAGCTTAATCGGTCCGATCTTCGGTTCTTGAAATTCAATTTTTCGGTCTTCGGTCTGGTCTGGACCAATGAACAGCCCAGGTCAAGACATGTGCATTGGAAACAACATAAAATGCAACTGAATAAAAACAAAAAATAAAAAATAAATAAAAAAAGGGGTATATCACACAATTAAATAAGAAGTAAATAAATTTAACTAACAATGTGCGGTTAAAGTGTGCCACAAAAACATGCAGGAACGAAAGGAATATAATTTAACTCAAGCATAATAAATTACTACTGATTTTATAATATGTCAACCAAACATTACTAGTTGAAGGAGAGTGGACAGGGTGGTGCCCGTGGTTGAAGGGAAGGGTAAAGGTCGGGGAAAATTCTCATTCTAATTTTAAAACAAACTGCCTAAATCTAAGCGTTGAGGTTTCCATTCTCCTTGTTTCCCTTTCTTAAACTCTTTCCCTTACCCTTCCTTTGTAATACCAAATGCCCCCTTATGTTACACTATATTCTGAACCCACCTGAGTCCGCCATTACTTTATCGGCTCATGAATGTTACTGTGGCAGCTTATAACCAAGGCTTGAAATACAGTGCTACAACCAGCTTGTATAATACCTAAACTTGTCAATCAGTGTTGTCACCTGCCTAATCAGTTTATAATAATAATCTTCTCATGAATAATCTACAACCTATGTACGCAAACTTTCCTAATTTGCGCAATAATCAGGCCTATGCAAACCTGCTAAACCAGCAGTGCTTTTGTACATGCAATAATTTACATTATGATAACCTAACCCAACGTAAATAAGCTAAAGCTCTAAGAAGCCCAGCGCCTTGGGTCACAATCAATGACAACAGATTGCACATCTTGAAGCTTGACCACACTTTTATAGACTTTAATCACCAACTTATGTATCTTGCAAGCCTTAAGACCAAGGATATGAAAAGATATAGGGGAGCAGCAACAGTGACAACTGACAAGGGCACGACAAAGGCAGCAAGAGGGGCGGTTGAATGGTGAAAGACTGGCAGCAGTGGTTGAAGGGAAGGGTAATGGTCGTGAAATTCTCATTCTTATTTTAAAACAAGCTGCCTAAATGGTCTAAATCTAAGCGTTTTGGTTTTCATTTCTCCTTGGTTCCCTTTCTTAAACTCTTTCCCTTACCCTTTATTATACCAAATGCCACCTTATATTGCACTATATTTTGAACCCACCTGTGTCCGCCATTACTTTATCAACTTATGAGTCGTGCTTCGTAGCTGTGTAGCTTGTGAATGTCGCTGTGGCAGCTTATAACCAAGACTTGAAGTACAGTGCTACAACCAAATTGTATGATATCTAAACTTGTCGATCATTGTTACCTACCTGATAGTTTATAATACGAAGTAATAAACTTCTCATAGATAATCTACAACCTATTTACGCAAAATTCCCTAATTTGCCCGATAATCAGTCCTATGCATACCTGCTAAACCAGCGGTGCTTTTGTACATGCAATAATTTACATTATAATAACCTAACCCTACATAAATAAGCTAAGCTCTAAGAAGCTCGGCCTTACTATCCTCCGCTCTTCAAAAAACTTGCTTCAAAATACCAATTGAATCTCTTAAATAATTCCTGCATTAGTGAAATCAAGATTAATGTTGCACTAATCACATCTTCAAGTTCATCATGGGTCACAATGACAGTAGATTGCATCATAAAGCTTGACCACACTTTTATATCTAGACTTTAATCACCAACAAATTTATCTTGCAAGCTTAAGACCAGGGATTTGTCTCAATTGTACACAACGAATTGTTATCAAAACAAACGATTTGTTTTTTAAAATGATAATCTCATAATATACAAAATGACAGATGGTATAATTAAATATGTTTTAAAAAGGGAGGAGTAAGCTATAAAAACATGGTCAAGCAATGAATTATGAGTAAATAAGGTTCAATAGGTTTATTATTTATGGGATGGTGGCAGAAGAGAGCTAGACAATGAAAATTCAGGGATTCCTACTTACCTTTCTCAAGATAGTTATTTAGAGAAGAACTGTATCCTGTCTTGACTCAAGCAAAGTAGATTTGGTTTTGCGCAGGTAGTGTACTTCACATCACGGATAGGATCGTGGGATTGGAGAGACTGAACAATTTTTAATGAGGGCAATTCTTGCAAGACCAAATTTGACGTTGCTTCATTGCCACATGCGAACACAGGGGTGCCATCCCCCAATCCTATAATGGTAGATTTTGGAAGTCGAATGCTGGGTACATACGCAAGTGTTGTTCCAAACCTTTGATATCTAGAATTTACTCTCTGCAAAAAGACATGAGAACCATGAAGATGGTGCCCCATGGTAGGCGAAGGACCTTGTGTGACTTGAGAAATGCTATAATTATCAGGCATCTCCACTTTTGGTCGAAATGTTGCCACAATATTATCACTGCTGGGGCAGTGAGCAACCGATATACAAACTCCTTGATTTGCTGTTTCTGTAACTAAGGACGGCCTGAAGAAAACAGAACAAGATACCAATTAACAAATATCAGCAAACTAAATATATGACAGAACTCAGCCAAAGAAAAAGAGAACAGGAATGGCAAGCATTTAAACATGTATAAAAAATAACAATAACCACCCTGGCACACACATTCAATACTGATAATTACTGTCCATTTAATCACTCATAAATATCTACAAGATTCATCTTGGTTGTGGTCAAAACCCAGGGAAGAACCAAACACAATAACATTACACACGAATACATGATAAAACATACTACGTATGAAATAAAACTAAAACTTGCACTTGATTTCACACATAGACCAAGGACAGACCCAATTACATCATTACAGGTATAAAACAACTTTTAAAGTGACAAGACAATAACTTAAAGACAAATTACACATCAAAGCAACCAATTCCTCTGCAAACAGAAACGCCAACTTCCATGAGGTTTGCTTCAAAACTATTACACATGCTACATTACTACCACATCTTCCCCAAAGCCCCAACACAATTTCATACAGAAAAAGCAAATACAAGACACGAGAAATTAGGAAACAAAGTGAAATGTACTTGTGGAAATGGATTGCTATGTAAAGGTTGTAAAGGAACAGTGATGATATTTTGTAGATTCTACTCACCTAACGTAATTATTCACGATCCAGACATTGCAATCTACCCTCAAGATTTTTTATCAAAATATAATTCATAACCCATTATTACAATTTACAGAGGAATTAATGAATGGTATACAAAACCAATGAAGAAAAACACATACTTGCCATAGAGGATGCATTGTAAGAACATTGATATGAGATATTTCATGTAACTTAGCAAATGGGATAAGACAAAAGTCAGCAACTCAAAACTGGTCCACAGTTCGTAATCAACGATTGCATTGACTAAAGGGTTGAAAGTTGTCCGTCAACAAGTACAGCTAGACATTTACATTGCAGTACATGCCCTAGACATGGAAGTACCAAAAGCTGAGCCATTTTACAAACGTACTCAGTTTAAACTTGGAGCCTAACCTAGAATGGGCTCCCTCTTAGAGTCTTAGAAATGAGGTTAAAACAATTAGTATACAGAATATGAGAATACTTCAGATGCATAAATTTAAAAAAGCATTCATGATTTATGCCAGGTAGATTACAAAAGCATGCAAATCTAACTTAGCCCTCATATACATGGGAAATGGAAGTAGACTTCAGTATAGCTAAAAATATTTAGCATAGAGTAAAGGCGAATGAGAGTAATAAGGAGAAATAGTCAGTTAGCAGAAAGTACAAGACCACATTAAGTAGTTTCAATGTTTCCAATTCCACATTCACAAAACTGCTTAGACTTTGTTTATCTCAATAGAGTTTCTAATTAGATTTCAATCTCAAAAAAATTTATTAGAAATAAAAGAAAGAAAGAAAAGAAAAAGGTAACTAACAAATTCACAATAATGGCAAATGGCACCACAGTTAATGGGGTAGAGGCAATTGTTTGATTTATCAATGGTTATATCTAAGAGTCATCTAGGCCTAAATTATAAGTCATCAAGAATGGAGATGAAGTCAGTGGAAAAAGTTGGTGTAATGATATAATTTTTTTCATAAATTCATGTAATAAATAATTTAAGATGCACACATAAAACATACATTTATAAATCAGGCTAGGCTTATATAAGTCGTTGGCTCATGTATTTTCAGTCTTTGTATGATTGATTACATACATAAATCTAGTGAGACCCATCATACTGGATGTTTTCCCAAACTAAGCTTTGTTTGCAAAGTATTTTGCAAACTAGACTCGTGGAAAAACTATTTCCCAAACTAAGCTTCCAGGGTAAAACGCTGTCTCGGACAACGTTTTATACCCTGGTTTTTATTTTAAAAAAAAAATCAATGTGTAAAACGCTGTTTACCTGTTGACTTTTTTTTTAAAAAAAAAAAATCGTAATTTATAGTTTTACAAAAAAAAAAAAACAAAGACCCTAAAACGCTGCCTGAGACAGCGTTTAATGTTCTTAATGAAACTCTGCCTCAGGTAGCGTTTAATGTTCAACATGAAACGCTGCCTGAGACAGCGTTTAATGTTGTTAATGAAACGCTGCCTCAGGCAGCGTTTCTTACGGTTATAACAACGAGCTTCTCCCTTCTGCATTCCCACACTTCCATTCCCTCACTTAATCTCTCTCTCTCCAAGACCCTTCTGCTTCTCCCTTCAGGTTGAGGTTGGGGTTGGTGGTGGGGATGGTGTTGGAGGGTGGTGGTGGCGGGTGGTGGCTGAATGAGTGTTAGAGGGTTGGGGGCAGAACTTGATGTGAGGAGTCTGCTGGTTGCTATGTGTTGCAGCCAGCAGAAAAAACGGGCTTTTTTCCAAACTAAGCTTTATTACCAAAGTATTTTGCAAAGTGGACTCGTGGCAAAACTATTTACCAAACTAAGCTTCCCGGGTAAAACGCGGTCTCGGACAACGTTTTATACCCTGGTTTTTTAAAAAAAATATTCAACGAGTAAAACGCTGTCTGAGACAGCATTTTACATGTTGACTTTTTTTTTTAACAAAATTTCATAATTTTTGATTTTAAAATAAAAAAAATAAAAATTAGTTCTTTTTTAAATTCTTAACTTCAAATTCAAAAAAAAAAAAAAATTACACAAAATACGCTGACTGTTAAAAAAAATTTCAAAAATTGTTAATTTCAGATTTTATAATTAAAAAAAAAAAAAATTACACTAAAAACGCTGACTGAAATTAAAATCTGAAATTATTTACCAAACTAAGCTTTATTAAAATCTAAGTCAGCATTTTTGGTGTAATTTTTTTTTTTTTTTTTTAAATCTGAAATTAACAATTTAAAAAAACAAAAAAAAAATTTAACTAAAAACGCTGATTGAGTCAGTGTTTTTTGTGTAATTTTTTTTTTTTTTAAATCTGAAATTAAGAATTTACGAAATTTTTTTAATTTTTTTTTTTTTATTTTAAAATAAAAAATTACGAAATTTTTTTTTAAAAAAATGTCAACATACATGTAAAACGCTGTCTTAGACAGCGTTTTACTCGTTGAATATTTTTTTTTAAAAAACCAGGGTATAAAACGCTGTCCCTAGAAGCTTAATTTAGTAAATAGTTTTGCCACGAGTCCACTTTGCAAAATACTTTGGTAATAAAGCTTAGTTTGGAAAAAAGTCCAGAAAAAACGCTGTCTCGGACAGCGCTTTATGTGCAAAAAAAAATTGCACATAAAATGCTGCCTGGGACAGCGTTATATGTTAAGGAAATAAACGATGTCTCAGCCAGCGTTTTATGTGTTTTTTATTTTTGTTTGTTTTTTTTATTTTTTAAAAATCAGACTTTACGAAATTAAAAAAAAAAGGTCAGCCGGTAAAAACGCTATCCGAGACAGCGTTTTATACCTTAATTTTTTTTTAAAAAAACCAAAAACCAGGGTATAAAACGCTGTCCGAGACAGCGTTTTATCCCTGAAGCTTAGTTTGGTAAATAGTTTTGCCACGCAACCATTTTGCAAAATATTTTCTAAATATGGCTTAGTTTGGAAAAAATCCCATCATACCCTCACATACACAAGTGATGGAAGTGAACTGTTACAGCCAAAAATGATACCAGGGAAATCATCAATTATAATCTAAATATAACCAATTCTACATTTTCTCTTTTTTCAAAGAAAAATGAGGAATCCTAAAGGCCTCTAATCTGCACCATTTTTCTTTCAAAGATCATGATTTTTCAACTAATTACTTCCCAAGTGCATCCTATTACAGTAATTATACTGAACCCCACTATGCATCTAAAATATTGTTATCACTTAAATTGCTAATAATACCAAGTACAGAGCCCTTAAAGCCCAATGAATGGTATCAAAGCTCACTTGGAAAGAAATAATGAGCTTCAGACCACCAATATTTCATGCCTTGTCATATTCATTATTGCATACCATATGGTTTCAAGAAAAGAATGTATCCCGTTCAAGGAGCTAAACAAACCAAATACAAACTAGCGTGACGAAGCAGCTAGTCGATGCAGCTCTACCATAATTCAAACTCCAGTTGTAGATAGACGATGTTCAAAAAAATGGAATTCAGAAGGTGTTCGATTCCAAGGACCAGTTATCACAAATTCACAATTACATCAAGAGTTGCACAAGCTGAGTTCTAAGTTTTCTATGAATAAATGCAAGGCATTTATACATGTACTGGTTAACTAACAATGTTGAAAAATATATACTTTCTCAATTTCATATTAATTGACACACTTCATTTATGCGCGCATATTAAGGAGAGGTTAGATAGAAAATGTCCTTACCCACCTAATCCTATTCTTGCCCTTCTCTACCTTCATCTCTAACCAACAACCCCACCCCCACCCTCACCTTTGTTTAGTCCACCACCGCCACTGCAAATTGGTCATCACTTTCTCCCACAAACTAAGTAATGAACTATGGTTTTCATGAGCCCCATTGATTGGTTACCATCTCAAATTAAGGCCACCTCTTTCTCCTATTGCTTAGTCAACCACGACTCGCCAAAATCGTCGACTCATACAAATTACAACAAATTGGCTAATAGACTTCCATCCCACCCACTATCTTCGACATGGACGAGTCAAACAGGGAATTGTTGGCAGTGGGGAAAGAGACAGAACGCCGAGGGAAGGGAATGAGTAAAAGTTGGTGGCGGCAAGGGAGACGAGGAGCAACTGTTGGGTTGGCCTCGAGGGAGGTCAGAGGCGCCAGGAAGGAGAAAAAGGAAAGAGAATGACAACCGGCGAAGAGGGAGGTGAGAGAAGATTGGCGACCAGAGAAATTGGGGGTGGTGAACCGGTGGTTGTTGGGGGGGGGGGGGTTAAATTGAGCGGATGTTAGAGAGAGAATTCATTGAAAATAAAAAAAATGAAATTATCATATTTGTTCAGGAGATAACTAAATAAGTCCTAAATTGTTGGTGTAATCATATTCCTTCTAAGAAATATCTTAAAATCAATACAATATACAGCCTTATTCCCCTAAGAAATATCTTAAAATCAACACAATATACAACCCTATTCCCATACTCTCTCCCTCTCTCTCTCTCTCTCTCATACTCTCTTTCTCTCCCTGTTAAGTAGTTAATCAGTTACAGTATCATCATTGATAATACAAATTCAACAAGACATTTGATGATAAGGAAGACAACAGGCCTAGGATCAAAAATTTCTTCTAAATGGATAATTTAGGCTCTAAATTTTCTTTGCTTGACATAATTTAGTGATTTAATACTTTTAGTAATTAGGAAAGTTATTTAGGACATTTATTGAGCTTTATACACATAGACATATTGTTACATTAATATCAATCAAGGACACAGAAAACAGTATATATGATCTCACCAACCACACTTGTACATCATATAAATGCATTTAGGAAGTGCACAAAACAAGAGCCTGGCAAGAAATAACAATATGTAAAATATCATCTATTGTATTTATAAAGTGGTGAACAAGAAATTAAAATCATAGGTTCATAGACTAATTGCCTATTTCCAAGTGACCATAAGCAATAGATTTACGATCATATGCACTCTACTTTGCTACAGGAAGTCTTGAAACCATATGTTTACAGAGAATTTTACATCAATAGGCCTTGGACAAATAGTCATGAAAACCACATAATTAGCGGCAAGAAGGTAGATCACTCTGGTCCACTGAACAACTACAAGAATAGAGAGATTGCTTACTCATGGAATTCGGAATTCACACAAAATAATTATTTCTTAGGTACTTTTATTTGTCAAGGAAACCAAATTTTAATAAATCTGCCAATATGATCAAAGTATAAAATAAGTTTTACAAATTAAAATCCATTTCTTTCAAAGAAACAAGATAGTACACAAGCTTTTGGATTCATTGAATCCACTTGATCCCTATTTATATCTGAAATGAACTAATGATTCACAATTTGGATGTATTAATGGGAAATTTAATAAAAAATAATCAAAGTACGACAAACTCAACAAGTCAACAGCTAAGCAGAACAAGAGAACATACTCTTTATATTCACCACCAATACTCCACTCACACAAGCCAATTGAAGAACCAGTAAGGAGTTTCTTAGCTCCTGTGTGATCTGGAGCGTCCTCTAATAGAGAGCATATGGAATGAACGGGCTTGCAGGTAAGTCCATTCCTCGATTCCATAGGCTTTCCAGTTTGTCTCAAATCGAACACTAAAAGCATGCCATTCTGCACAAATTAATAAACAAAAATAAATCAGAAAGACAAAATATAATGTTTGGCAAGGATGCTGAAGTGGATATGGTTCAAATTACAGATCAAATGAGGATTTATAGTTGGATTGATATCCATTCACAGTACAAATTTTACAAATCAAATTTGGAGCTAGATATCGTTGGTATTAGATTAAACTGAATTTGGTGTTGCTTTAGGCTTGTTCTACTTGATAAACGATATTTATACTATTCCCTTAAACGCTTTCCTTCCTGGGTTTCCACTATTTATTGATTAATTGTATGCATAATTCTCAAGAGTTTGATTCCTAGAGGATGATTCTGAAACTGAAGGAAATAGTGTTCAATAAGAACAGTATACAAATAAAAAACAGAAAACACGTTAGCTCAAATAAAAGATTTGTAGATAGAAGGAGATGGGTTTTTTTTTTTTTTTTTTTTTGGGTGTGTGTGTGTGTGTTGGGGGGGGGTGTAATTTCTAAGTGAGTGAATAAATTCTTGATGAAAAAAATAAGCCCTGAGATTACATTGGCTAAAGCAAAGAAACATAGTTCATTTATCTTTAAAAAAAAAAAAAAAATCACAGCCTTTGTTCATCATCATCAAACCACCTTTCCTAGAAAAAAAAAAAAAAACATGACAGACAGCCAACAAGGAGGAAAGAACACCACTCTAGCAAGGAGCATAGAGGCATTGAATGGTACAAAAACAATAACAGTATCAGTATCAGTATCAGTGTAAAAATGAACAATCATTGGTAAGAGGTATAACCTGTAATCCAGCATAAACATAATGTGAACTGTTACTATCCCATGAGCAAGACCAAGCAGCAGCCTAAAAAACAGTCAAGAATATATGAATCAGCGCCAGAAAAAAAAAAATTAATTAAAGAAAGAAAAAAAAATAAAGAAAGAAAATATATTGGAACAAAAATCATAAACACAATTACCAATCATTACCAATAATCAATTGACTATGACCCAATGCAAGAGTGCAAGAAACTAACTAGAGATGCATAAAAGACCAGCATTTTACATTATAAGAGATGGCAGCCAGTCTTAAACAAAAGAAAAGTCCCCCTATATTTGTTCAAGGGACACCATAATTTAGGACTGTAAAAATGTGGACCACAGGGAAGGAACTGCAAAATATGACCATTGATCTTAGGCCAACTTTTTAAAAGAAAAACAATGAATTTGACTACTGTGATAAAAGAGAAACAAATTAAAAATCTAACATTCTAACCACACCCCTACCTTGCAGTTGACAACTATGGAAATAGATAGCATCTAAAATAATCTAGTACTCCCTCCGTCTCATAATAAAATGCCTCTTTGGGTTTTTGCGCGGGAATTAAGAAAGTTGTAAACTCCTTAAATTAATGATTAGAAGTAAATATGTGCATGTGGGGTTAGAGAGAGATAGAGAGAAAGAAAAAGTAGTTGGAAATAATTGAAGAGATAGAGAGAGAAAGTGTTGGAAATTGATGTTCAAAGTACAAAAAAGAAAAGGATAAAAGATGACAACTCATCAAAAGAGGGTAATAATGTCAAAAGGTACAACCTTTAAATAGAAAGAGGCATTGTATTTTGGTTTACCCAAAAAAGAAAAGAGGCATTGTATTATGAGACGGAGGGAGTACATGCTTAAATCACTACTTACTCTCTTAAGATTCAAAGAAAAAGGCAGCTATTGGATTTTAAATTATTCTACTCTCTTCTTTTGAAAGTCTCATTATTGACATATTATCAATAAAAAGGAAACAAGCCAACAACGACAGCAGTTTTATAAAGTTTATTCTTTCTAACGGTGGGAATTATGGTTCTAGTAATGAAATAGTTTTCACATCACCAAAATGATTGTTTTATATTTTAATGCGTGGACAAAACGAGCAGTTTTAAGAGACCTACATTAAATATTTAAACCCATTTTTAAGAACCTTCAATTACAGAAAAAAAATATTAATAAAATTAAATGAAAATTTAAAAATTCAGATTTCAGTCTATTCAGAAACATAGAAGGTAAGATAGAGAATTCTTTTTAAACCATCCCTTAAATTTAATACCTTGTTCAAGCTTTTATTGATCCAATCTACAGGAACCAATACATGGTCAAAACCAGAAAACAACAAATTAACAATCACTAGAATGATCCAAATTTTCCAGTCTAAAAATCAAATGATCTAGAATCTAGAGTAACTAGCCAAGACATGACAATTTTGATGGAAGATAAGGATTGAATCCCTTTCCATATTCCATGAAAGTCATTTTGATATAGGGACATAACTCAGTATTTAATAATGTGAATAAATCTTAGATGAATAAGCAAAATATAGGTTATATTTAAATTGAAGTCCAAAAATACATTTTATAGAAGCATAGGTGTAATAGAATCCTAGGGGGAGAGCAATATAGAAAATGATCTTGTAATTCTACTATGGCCACAAAAACCCAAGTTTGAGTGACCACCATGTACTACAGTGACTGAGAGATGGGGAAAATAAGGTGTTCACGTGATCATTAAAACATAAAAAGTAAAGAAAGTGTACCGGTAAATCATAGTTGAGGACAACATTGTTGCTTTCCATGCTGAAGGGGGGGGAAAAAAAAAACAAGAAATTAATTAGACACTAGTGAGAGAGGGACTTCTATTGGGACTAATATTACTCTATCTTTTCAGAATTGCTACATACTAAGAATAACAAAAATTACGTCTTTCATGCAATTCATTTATAAAAAGGTCAACATGCTCTAACAAGAAAATAGCATGTTTCCAGAGTATAGTCAATTGGGAAAAAATTTTGCACTATAAGTTCATCCCCACCTTAAAACAGACAGTTTCTTTGAAGCCAATAGTGCAAGTCTGGCAAATGAAGATACACGCAAGTCTCTGACTGCGTTGACTGATGAAGGAAGTAGAATGTTATCTTGCTCACGAGGGGAAACTAAACTCATCTGCAGAACAACAGTGTAAAGTTAGTTTGGCAAAACTTTATTCACCTCAAGCAAATTGCAAGAAAGAAGGGCGAAAACATACTTTGGTGAGAATATGGGGATCACCAATCCTATTCGGCCTTCGTGCAATGATCAAAATCTGACCAGTATCATCCACATCAAAGTGCCGTGCTCCATCTACTGGCCACTCTTGCTGCAAACATTAAAATGTGCTGATAAATAATTGAGTAACATAGCTAAATAGCTCTTGCACAATTTTGCAGTGCAAGAGCACAATATATTACTGTTATGGTTTATGTTTATATTATAGAAAAACAGAGAAGAAAAAATCCCTTTTAACATGGGAAATGGACTTCCTCTACGTCTCCTCCCAATCCTTCCAACTCCTTTAATCCCAAAACCTCCCGCTCACTAAATTTCCTCCACCTCTCCTTTCCCCTTACTTCTCCTTCCATGCTAAAACTTATGCAAACAATGTTAGAAGATTTTATTAAGAACTAGTGTTATAAATCTCATTAAACTCAATTTTTTAAGGCAGGAGCACTTCAAATAAATCACCTGATCGTAGGTATCATCTCATTTAAACTCAATTTTTTAAGGCAGGAGCACTTCAAATAAATCCAGTCTTGATCCCACTCCTAAAAAAAACAGGATGGACAGGTATAGGTTATATGCAATCCCCAATGTGTATTTAGAAGTATAGCTTAGAACAGGGTAAATCAACAGATATTAAATGGTTCATATCAGTATTCTGACTAGTAAATTTGATCCCACTATAGTTGACCAAAGTCTTCAGTGTCCCATACCAGATTCTATCAAATAAGCTTATTGGAATGATATAACACAAAAGACGGAGAAAGGTTCTTTCTAATGTAAAAATAGCATCTTGTTAAAAAAATTATTTAAAAGAAAACTGTAAAAGCATGCTATCCAGCAGCTAACAAAACAAACATGACAAAAATAACACCTAACCGTTAGCCTCTAATGCTAGAAAATACATGAACCTTTGCTTACAACAAAGTGGCATGAGGTGATCACAAGTCTATTGTTAAGGACAAATAAATTTCAGTCATTCTCGAGGACAAACTAAATCACAAATTTGAATCCTAAGGCCAGCCTAAAGTCCTGCTAAGAGAACTTTCAATATGACATGTACATGACAGAATAGTATACCATAAGTATTGATTCGAAACACCATTCCTAAATTCCATTAAAGAGAAAGCAAACACTGCATACAAGCAAAATAGCAAGAACAATAGCCACTGAATCAGCGTTGGTTGGATGACATTTTTGTGTGAACCCCAGGAGCAAAAGCTGCAAGATATTACTAGTGATAACTGATTACTGGGGACAACACTAAATTTCAGGTGCAATAAAGGGAATAAACACTCCTTATCACAAAATAGATCTGACTTCTCCAAGGAATGTCTCACGATACTTTGACAATGCACCTTATATCTCATTACAAAGGGATAGTTAAATCTAGACATAGAATATTGTAGATGCACCTTGTCGTCTTTTACATGGGATCAATGCCTTGATATTGCAAAACAACATAGACAGAAAAACTACTTTATTGGTAAATGTATTGCAGCAAACCTGTAATTTAAATGTATAAGAAGATACTTGACTTTGAGTTAATCCAGCATTAACACCTGCAGAACACCACAATTAATAATAAGAAAATGAAGAACTTATTGTACATATATCTTAGTCAGTGACATAAAGCATTAGTCAGTAAAAAAAATTACTTCTGCAGCACATAAAACTACCAACTGATGGCTCAGAAAAGAAAACTCATCACTCCAAAGTATGATTACCTCTAGATGATTGCAGTTGAAACCCATCAGTAGCAGCATCCAAAACCAATGATTTATTTCCTAACTCAGCCACTGTACGTTGAAGAATATCCTCCCTCTGGAAGTACATAAATTAGATTGATATGAGGGTCCCAATTATATTAAACACACATCAGCCAAGGAAAAAATATTCATATGAGTAATGCAGAAAAATGAGAGCTTTTCTCCATGGAAAAACAGTTTATTGCACTTTTAAGCACGAATTATTAGAGCTAGAAATAATTTCTGGACTTCTTTGTACAAGGCTATTTACGGCCATTGAAATGAATCAAATGATATATTATAGATACAGCAGCATTCCAGTATCCAAAACAGCAGACCACTAATTCTGATTAAGCATATAGTAGACACTCGATTCATAGCATGAAACAATAGACCATGAAGTAAAAACTCAATCTTCATCTATACCTCCTGAAGTTGCTGTAATTTCTGACTAATCTCTACATCTTTCTTCTGCAATACTAACACTTTCATACGCCACTCAGCTTCCTTTTTACGCCATTCTTCGTCCTGAACCAAATAAAAAAACCATCACTATATGAAAACAATTTATTCTCTTAACAAATACATTGTCTTCCCAGCAAGATCAAAATAAACTACATTACAAAGAGGGAATATAGGATACACAAATCCACTGTAATGCATCAGATACACTTTTATCCCTTATTTTAGTCATTTGAAATTTGAACAACTTTCATGTTCTTTATTTAGGTTTTTGGAGTACTTATATTATTAAGGTCCATCTCTTTAAATAAAATTCTCATTAGTTATTGGGCTTAATTAGATCTTTATTTATATGAGTTTGGTTTGTGATATATGGAGATCCCAAGCCTGGGGGTACATACCCCAAAGTCCAAGTGTACTACTCACCTCGGCCAACTATTCTTTTAGAGCCAGCAATTACTACTAAGGTTAACAAAAAATGATAAAAATTTCAATTCCACACAGCATACACAAGTCAAAAAGATTAACCAAGCAAAAGGATTCAACCTTATCTCTTCAAATCAACTCCTTCTACCGCCTCCTCCTAGAAAATCAAACGAGATTTTCATTTCAATAATATCAGAATCTCAGAAGATCCAAGAGATGAAACTAATCTTTAGTATCTTTTTTTATCCTTTTTCCATTCTACCCTACTATTTTTAGGATATAAAATCACCCCTATCTATGAGGCAACATGTACAACTCATGCAACACAATCACACAATAATTTTAGGATTTTAGTTTTTCACTTTGGTTTTCTTTGTCGATGACAGCAGAGGACGGCAGTTGCATTTAGTCTGCTTCGTTCTTGGTTATTAGTTCAATTGCAAGCTACTGGTAATTTCATTCTCAATTATTCAATTAAGAGGTTGTATTTCCTAATAAAGTTATTCTCTATTTTCAACTTTAATTGATTTATACGAATCATATTGTTAGTTTAAATTTAGTTAGTGGGTTCATGATTTATTATTATTATGATGATGACTTTGTTTTTCATTTCAATCTTGTTTATTGTGTTCTATGATAGTAAATTAGTATTATAAGTTTGGTGCTTTGATTAGTTGGTTTTAGTTGTAGATCATATCATTGCTACAACTAGTATATGCTACACTATTAATTTTAGATTTCAAATTTTATAATTTTTGTCAATCTAAGTGGATCTAAAATACTTGCTATTGTTGTTAGATGCTCCAGGTACTATATGATGAATTATTAATGGTTCTTTTATGCTCTCATTTTCTTACATTGTTGATACGAATCTAATAGTACATTAGGTAGGCAATGGTTTTCTTTCTATTATTTTGGGATTGTTAGGTACAGTTTTGTCTATGTCATGTTTTAATGCTTATTATGCTAGTAATCAGTAGCTTATCTCATCTTAGCATCTTAGATCATGCCTTTCAGCATAGTATTAGAATTTATCTTGATCCTATTATTACTCTACTTTAATTAACTTGCTTATTTTATTTTAATAGTTAAATTCTCAATTCTATTAATTTCAGTTCAGTATAATTTCAGCAAAAAAAAAAAAAAAAAAAAAAAGAAAAAAAAGGGTGAAGAGAACAAGGCCTACATGGAAATCAACTTATCATCATCATCCTTGTGGGTTAGACCCATATTTGCTAGTTGTGCTATATTCATACACGAGCGGTTGGGGTATTGAATTTTATTCATAAATTAGGGTAACAATCTCTAAGTCAAAGAGACAAAAAAAAAAGCAATAATATCATCTTTAAACTTGCCTTGATAAACCGAAGGAACAAGCTACCGTATTTTTGAGATACAAGTAAGAAAGAAATTGGTCAAAAATATGGCAAAAAAACAATGAACACCAAGTCATATATGGTAATGAAAAGCTAGCGATGAAGAGACACATGAGACATGCCATGCAATCAGTAAACTCAAAGTGAAAATCCATACCTTTTTCTTAAGAGAATCGCATTTAGCCTCGAGATATCGTATACGCTATAGGGAAAAACAAAAAGGCACAGTGTTTCATAAACTTCTTAAGAAGATCCAATAATAGTACATAACAAATGGTCTTAGAATACCTTTTGTGATTCTTCGTCAACTACAACAACCCGTGATCCATAAATCCTCCGAACATCCTTCAATGTACACTTCTTGTTGCATTGTGGACACTATAAAGACAAGGAAGATAACAAAGTTCAAAAAGGAAACACCATCGTTATTTTATCTTTTTGCTAATTTATAAGACTTGTGTTTAAGTTTTAGAATATCCCATCATTATCAACTAAGTACCTTTCCAGAGTTTTTCCGTTGTCCAAGCCACTTTTTGATGCAAGACATTCCAAATAAATGGCCACAAGTAAGACAACTGCATTCCTTATATCCATATGAACCATCAGTAACAACCAAGCAGGTGATGCTACATCACACCAAAAAGCAAGCAGGCACACACATTTACATAGCACTCGCATAGAATTAGAGAGACACCCTAGTGAATGATGGATGATGAATTCTTTATAGACTAGCCATAAGACTTCAAACAATGGTATTCATAACTGTCACAAAAAGAACGTGAAAAAATTTAAAGAGATCCTTTCACATAAACTTGATTACTCTCGCTTAGTAGTTTAGTAAAATGCACAGTCGCAAGGGTCGATCATTGCTTCTAGGAGTAATAATTATAGAGGATGTGTCTTGAATGTTGAAACAATTCTTCCTGCCAGCTCAAGGGCTCATAATAGTTTACAGGTTCCCTGAGGAGGGTAACTCCTAAAACTCAATGATCATCCTGAAGCGGAGGGCTTGTGGCAAGTCAAACCCGTCATTCCAAGTATGAAGTTGCACATGAATGTAACATATTTAGGGGGTGTTTGGTATGGGTTTTTGGTAGAGTTGGAAACGGAACCAGTTACTATTTCCCTTACTTTGTGTTTGTTTAATGAGTAAAGAAACAAAAACCGTTTCTTGCCTCTAACCGTTTCCATCATTTTGTTTCCAGAGTAAAGTAAGAGGAAACAAATAACGTTTCCTGACTGTAACACAAGAAAACAAAGTTTTCTCTCTCCTCTCTCCTCTCGTTCAACCCTTCTAGTGAGAATTCCCATCCTCATTCGACAATTTATCTGAAAATTCTCCTAAGAAAACTGCAATTCTCCTGATTTCGCTGCAAAATTTTCAATTTTCTACCTAAAATTTACAGAAATCTAAAATCTAAAGTACGGTAAATTCTTTGCTTTCGCTTGTTCAATTTCTAGGGTTTATACGATATCAATTTCGCTTTCTGATTTGAATTCTTTATTTGCTTGTTCGATTGAAGTTTCTTTTCTCTTTCGTTGATATTTTGCTGAATTTGATGGTATATATTGCTATTATTGCATGTAATTGTTGGCTATATTGTGTTTCCCCCAATTTGATGGTATATATTGATTGATATGTGGTTGTATCATTCTGGTTTTTATTATTTTAAGTTTAATTAAGTTATTATTCGCTAATTTAGGGGCAAATTGGGTGGGGTGAATTACGAAGGAAATGTGAACTCATTCGATAATATTCATTAATTTTGCTGATTAGGGTTTTGAATTATTGATTTCTGGGCTGTTGTACTTATGCTTAATCAATACTAAATGATCAATGATTTCTATTAATTTAGGTCTAAAATGCTGCTGTAAGCTTAATTAGTAAGTTTGAATTAAGCAACCATCAGATTTTTGTTTTAGATGTGATTGAGTTATTTATAAATTCTATTTGACTAGGTGATAGGTGTTTATTAAATAGTCTTGCTTGCGATTTGTGACCTAAGGCGACCACAGATTTGATATAGCTTTGAGAATCATTTGGGACTTTGGGGTATGTTCTGTTCAAAATTACATTATTCGAATATCCCGTAGAATAAATGAAACTTATGAATTAGAATTATATTTTTCTGAGTAAGTCCTTTAGTTGATTTTGAATATTCAATTCAGTTGGTAATGGACCATACTAGAATTAAGATCAAAAGAAGCAATGACACTGAACTTGATATCATTAGTGATTCGCCCAAGGATGTGACACATGAAATTTGGGAGCAATTGCCCCTCCGGGATGCTGCACTAATGTGTGTTCTTTTGCATAAGTGGCTAGATATTTGGACTTCGACAACCTGGTATATGCTTTTGTTTGCCCGTTGTGATTATCAAGTTTATATTCCCAACATGTATTACTAGTTTATATTAATACTATTATATATTTTTTGGATGTGGCATATGATGTGTGTTGTTACAATAAGGGGTGTTCAATTAAAAGAAAGGAAAAGAAATAAAAATTTGTTACGAATGTTCGTATTAAGAGGGCTTTATAGGGAGAGTGATGTGAAATGCAAGAGTTAGCTTCGTGTTAATAGAAGAACTTTCAATGTTATTTGTGAGATGCTTAGAGACATTGGGGGTTTGAGTGGAACAAAAAACATGGCACTTCAAGATATAGTAGCCATGTTTTTATACATGTTGGCACACCATAAGAAGAATAGGTCTATTGGACAATACTTCTTTAGAAGTGAAGAAACCGTGAGCCGACAATTTCACCTTTGTCTAAAGGCTTTTCTCAAGTTGCATGAAGTACTACTTCACAATCCCACACTAATATCGAATGATTGTGAAGATAAGTATTGGTTTTTTCTAAGCCGCTAAATTTTGCTAGGATTTTCTTATTTTTGCTTGTTTGTAAGTAATATTTTTCCTATTTTTGTAAAATTGTTTAGGGGCATTAGATGGGACTTACATTAATGTAAATGTGCCTTCACAAGAACGACCAAAGTATAGAACAAGAAAAGGAACAATTGCTATGAATGTATTGGGTGTTTGTGCACCCAATATGCAATTTATTTATGTTCGTCCTGGTTGGGAAGGTTCGGCCTATGATATTCGTGTACTTCGCTATGCTCTTTCTAGACCAAACGGTTTTAGGGTAGAGGTAAGTGAAGGCCATTTTTTTTTGTGAGTATATATATTTATGTTTTGTTAGTTTTGGTAGGTAGTAATATTTTTTTTAATAACTTTAAAGGTAATTATTATTTGGTTGATGTGGGATATACGAATTGTGAGGGCTTTCTTGCTCCATATAGAGGTCAAAGATACCATTTAAAAGAATGGACGGATCGACAACCCGAAAGTGCCGATAAGTTCTATAACATGAAACATGCTAGGGCGCGAAATGTGATTGAGAGATGTTTCGGCCTACTTAAAGGAAGATGAAGTATTCTTAGAAGTCCTTCATTTTTCCCTATAAGAACTCATGGACGTATCATGATGGCTTGTTGCTTATTGCATAATCTAATTAGAAAATTCATGCCTACGGATGATATAAACGAAAATGAATTGAATGAATCCGATGATGATTCCGAAAGTGATTCCGATGATGAAAGGGAAATTTATTACAAGTGTTGCTACTTCGGATCATTGGACCAATTTAGAAACAAATTAGCCTAAGATATGTTTAATGATCGAAGGGTGAGAGGTAGACATGGTCAATAGCACAAATTGTATGATTTTTTTTTCTTCGATTACATTATGTATATATAGGTGTATTTTCTGTTTTTGTTCATTTTGAAGCCACTGCCACTTTGAATCTGCCTTCTACTTTGCACAATTCTAATCTGCCTTTTGTTCTGTTTCATTTCTAATCTGACTTTTTCTGTTCATTTCTAATCTACTTGAGTTATGTTCATTTCTAATCTACCTTATATTATGTTCATTTCTAATTTGCCTTATGTTATGTTCATTTCTAATCTACCTTCTAATCTGCAATTTGTTTAGGATGGAGGCTAGCAATCAAGGAAGAGGTAAAAATAAAAGGAATTAGACATATGAAGAAGATGCGGTTCTAATAAGATATTTGCATGAGTTGAGTTGTGATCCAAAGTGGAAGTGCGAGAATGGGCTTAAGAATGGTCACATGAATAGATTAGAAGAGATGATCAGCAGCATACTTCCTAATTGTGGCTTGAAAGCGGTTCCCCACATTGAGTCGAGGATCAAGCATTGGTCAGAGAAATATAGTGCATTTGTAGAAATGCTATCCACCTCAGGATTTGGATGGGATGCTGAAAAGAAATTGTTGCAAGTAGACAAGGCCATGTTTGATGAATGGGTAAAGGTATGAATTGACTAACTTGTACTGACAAGATTATCTTAACAACCTGTTTTTAGCAGTGACAAGTTTTTCATAATTCTAATTTTTAGGCTCTTTTTTTCTATGTGTTTTGCAGCAGTGAGCACTACTAGGATATTATCGTGTGTTCTAATTATATTGACTGTCCGTCATCCTACGCCTATAACCAAAAATAAGAATTAGAATTAAGGTATGGTTGGAGAAATTTGGCAGATTTATTTTTGATAATGAAAGGGTTGTAGAGTAAATAGTAGTTGTCTTGCTGGTTAAAAACTTGCTCTCAATTTTCTGGTAGCTCCTAATAAGGAACTCTCTCCAAAAGTAATCGTATGCCACTGAATGCAACAAGCAAACAGTATTGTGATGTTATTGATTTCTTGATTTCTCATTATGTCTATATTATGTGGTTTCACATTTGAGTCTGCAAACCAGAGTTCCAGTTAATTCCTTTGTCTTTTACTGATATGCTTTGTTATATTTCTTTCTAGAGGAAATTGTAGGTTTTTTAGTGTAAGGATACTATTGTGAAATTTATAATGATCAGATTATATTTCAAGCATGTCAACTTAAAAATGACATGGCTGACAGATTTGATAGTTTACTTATAGCTGATGTTATTACTTACATACTGAAATCTGAGTTCAGTTTGACATTTTAGCAACAGCATTTCTAAGTTGGTTTACTTGCATATTATGCTTGTTGCTAGGTTTACTTGCATTGAGCTTAGATTTCTAAAGCCACTCTTTAGAATTTGTTTCTTTTAGGGGGGGCAGGGAGGGGAATAGGTAGCAGGGGGCAGGGTGGGGAATAGGTAGCAAGGGAAAGGGGGCAGGTGTGCAGCTAGGGGTTGGGGCAGGGTGCGGGAAAGAGTGGCAGGGACAGGAGTAGTGATTTCTGATATTAATAAGTTCAGTCAGTTACTTTCTTATAATTTGCATAGACTGCAAGTCTGCAGCTCTGGAAGTCTAACCAAATTGTTACGAATGTTTTGACTTGTTGCATTCTCTTATATGGCAGACTCAAAAGAAAGCTAAGGTGTTGTTTGGAGTTCCATTCATTCACTATGAAACTCTTGCAGAGATATACGCAAAAGACAAAGCAACCTGAGATGCAAGTGAGTCATTCGTTGATGCTATAGAAGATATGGATCAAGAGATTGATAAGCAACCATTAAATGTCGAGAGGGATGAAGAAGATGATGTGAATTCTACTCATTCGGACACTTATTCTTCTACAAGTCAATCCGGAAAACACCCCATGAAGATAGAGGATGATCATTCAACTCCTTCAAAAATGGCAAAAGTGAAGGCTTCTACAATTCATTCTTCTGCAAGTGATTCTACTACTCAATCCGGAAAACACTCTATAAAGGCGAAGGGAGGCTAAGGTAAAAGGAAAGAACAAGGTAAATTTGAAGAGTTTGTGTAGGAATGATGATGATGATTTGGTGGCCTCCCTCCATGGTTTCCAACAATTTTGGGAAGATATTTGAAAATATCAATGTTAATCTCGGGACCATGACTAGTGCATGGTCTAAAGCAGAAGCAAAGGGAGCAAAGGATTGATGAAAAACTACACAAGGTTTTGGATGAGGTGATGAAGTTAGATGGAATTTCTCCATCCAAACCTTTAGAGGTTGCTACAATTCTCATGGCGGAAGAACATAAGCTCCACATCTTCTATCAAGCGCCAACTAATATGAAGAAACAATATGCAATTGATCTCCTTAAGAAGAAGTAGAAAGTTTTGTCCTAAGTTGTTATTGGAGTTAATGTTTCAATGGTTTTTTTTTTTTTTTTGACGAATACTAGAATTTCAATGCTATTGTAACCAATACTTTATGTGACTTTGTCTATATCTAGCATATGATATATTATGGTAATTGGTTTCAAAAAAAATATATATATAATGATAATTAGTGTTGGTATACATTGCCTAATGTGTAGCAAAAGTTAGCCAACACAACAAAAAATAAAAGGAAAGCTATTTGTTTCCAAGTTATCTATGCCAAACAAGAGGAAACGGATTGGTTGTAATCGTTTACGTTTCCTTAGTAATACCAAACAACTAGTAAGGGTAACACTATATATTACCCTTTCCCCTCCTAATTTGTTTCCATTTTGTTACTTTTACTAAGTTGATACCAAACGCCCCCCTAAGCTACAATCTCGGTGTAAATCATGTTATCAATTTTACCTATTAGTATTATAAATAGTTTACCAAAGAAAACGTGGACAGTAAACATAGATATCTGAACACAATTAAATGCAGATAAAGACAATTAGCCAGACCAAGCCAATTGAGATGGCAACATTATCACCCTCTATGAGTTCCACCATCATAAGTCACAACCAAATTTAAATCCCAAAGGGTAGTTCCTCATATTGTGAAGGAAGTAATAAACAGCCCATGCTAAAAACTTGTGCCCCAGATGGGTCACATTTTCCCAACAATTGGGCAACTGACTACCCTTGATTTTACAAGATAGAAGGGCAATCGGGGTTTCCCTACCTCCCCAATTAAAAACAAATCGTGTTCCATATATTTAAAACAATACAAAATTAATCACATCATTGATGTAATATATAATTTTAACAAACACTACCAATCTAAATTACTTACAGGCAAGGTAGCATACACCAGTACCTTTCCAAAACGTGCCAAAACCAAAACCCATATTCCACTATTGTCACTATCCAATTTGTATTTTTTTCCCGTATGATTAAGTAGTAAAAATATACATTTTGGACGTGAAAATCAACAATTTAATGGAGCTAAACTATCGTGTGATCATCATAGTATAAAAACTGTAATTTCCTCATCTGTATAAACTTTAGGCTAGTCCTAATGTAGAGATAATTCAACACAAAATTTCACAATTTACCCAATGCTATTTATTTCATCAGTAATGTACATCAACAATTATCCAATACCTCTAAAAGAAGCTCCCTAATGGACGGTGTTAAGCGGTCTAATAAGTACATCCTTAGAACTACGAAGCTATCTCCAATGTGCAAAAATTTTCAATAATCAACTATTATTTCAGCTCTAAGCATTCTAAAGGGCCTAAATACCAGACTATTACTGTATTGTAAACAACAATATCAACAACTCCTCAAATTTACACACACTGAAAGAAAAGGCCGAAATATCATACCAACACTGATACCAGGACATCAAAAAAAAACAACCAAATATCAAATTCAACAACCCAAACAATTCAACACAATCAAATTGCAAAACCCTAATTGTAAAACAATGAACACGAAGAGAAAGAAAGAGAAAGACCTAGGTTGATGTTCGCCGGAAGCAGTCCAAGGGTCCATACAAATAGAACAAAACAAACCCTCAACATCCTCTCTATTCCACTCCAATTTCTGACTATCCTCTCCTTCACCACATCCCCCACTCGTAGACGTCGTACCTTCCGGATCCGGAACCAACCTCACCATCTCCTTCTCCCTCTCCTCAATTCTTGAAACCGTAGACCCCACCGCGGTAGCTTCAGAAAGAGGCGGCCAAGTAGTCATTCTCACCTCCTCCTCTTCCGCCGCCGCTTCGCCATCATCCTCGTCCTCGTCCTCGTCCTCGTCCTCGTCCTCTCTGAAGACGATATCATCCCCGCCGATAACGACGTCGTCATCGTCGTCTGTGAAAGGGTCGGATACAGTATAGTTGCGTCTAGGCATTGTAGATAAATTATGGTTTAGATGAATTGATTGATTGATGGAGAATTGAAACAAGGGTGTCTGGATTTTAGATGAATTGATAGATATCTATCAAATTAGGTTTTTATATGAGAGAATAAAGAAAGCAAGGAGTTTATGGTTTTGAAACCGTTGAAAGAGAGATAAAACGGCGCTTTTTTTTGAACTTTTGGCGGTTGTACGCCGATTACTTTGGTTTATCTCCTCACTTCCCCAGCAAAGGTTTTAGAGGACTAGTGTATTTTTAGTTTTTTACCCTTCCTTGAGGATTTGACCAAACCTTATTCCTCATGCTGGAGGCACGGCCCGGCACAAACCCGCTGCAGGCACGGCCCGGCACGGTGGCCCAGCCATGGGTCGTGGGCATGCCGCGGACATTGTTTTGATTTTTTGACACGAGCCCGCTTCAAGCCCGTCGTGCTGGCCCATGGCACGGCACGAAGGCACGGCCCGCCTGCAACGGTAAAAAACGGCTCTTTTTGCCATTTTTTCGTTGCTCCAACGGCCATAAACGGCTCTTTTTTCCCCCATTTCTTTCCCAAATTCCCTATAAATACCCAATTTCATTCACTTCCTAAATCACAAATTCACAATCTTCCTCTCTTAATCTCTTATATTCTCTAATAATCCTTAATCTCTTATATTCTCTAATAATTCTCTTAAATTCTCTATATATTATTTCTTAATATCGGAAAGAATTAAAAGTTCATAATCGTAATTAGTGGAAAGCGTTGAAGCACGGTTGTAAGATCTAAACTAATCTTCAATTTATTATTGTTGTTATTGTTATTATTACAATTATTGTTAGTAATTATTATTGTTGTTATTGTTATTGTTATATTTGTTGTTATTAGTTATTATTATTGTTATTATTATTGTTAAAATTGTTGTTATTAATTATTATTGTTGTTTATTTTATTATTACAATTATTGTTATTAATTATTATTGTTGTTATTGTTATTGTTATAATTGTTGTTATTAATTATTATTATTGTTATTATTATTGTTAAAATTGTTGTTATTAATTATTATTATTATTGTTAATTATGGCATCGAACAACACATCATCTAGGGGGAAGGGTCGACTTACCCGTGGTAGTAGTTCTAGGGAATCACCTAATCCAACGAGCCCCCAAATTCCGAATCCGGCCATTCCAACCAATGACCCCGGTAACATCCCCCTAGGCTTTGAACAATTTAGGCACGATGGTACTTTCGGTTTTCAACCCTACAATATGCCCGGATTTCCACCACCAAACCAATTTCCACAATTCGGTCAATTCCCACCAAATTACTTTGACCAACAAAATTTTTATTCTAGCCAAGGTAGCCAACAAACCCTAAATGTCTCCGGTTCTACTACTAACCAACCAACCCCCGATTCTACAAACACCCAATTCCCACACACATGAGGAATGGTTAACCGAGAGTGAGATGGTACTTGTCAAAAGCCGCAAAAGTGAGGTATGGCGTTATTTCCTCCTAAGTAGAGACCACACAAGAGCAAAATGTAAAACATGTGGTCATTCATTCTCGGCAAAATCCACATCGGGGACGGGACACTTAGGTACACATGAAAAGTTGTGCAAAACCAGCTAGTGATCCAACCCATCCAAAAATTTCCCAATTCCATCCACACGGCTTTACCTATAACTATGAGAGGGATAGGGATGAACTAAGAAAAATGATAGTACACGCCGAACAACCTTTTCTTTTCTTCGAAAGTGACCCATTTAACACTTACATTAACAAAGCATTACAGCCCCAACATAAAAGAATCTCTAGGAAAACCGTTCGTTGCGCCGCCATAAAAAACTTCCTAGAGTACAAAATGCGGTTACAAGCCGAATTGAGTAACCTTAACTGTAGAGTGTCTTTGACTGCCGATTCTTGGGATAGTGGTTATAAATATCACTATTTATGTGTGACTTGCCATTGGGTAGATGATCAATGGTTGTTACAAAAACGAATAATCCATTTCAAAATGCTGGAATACCCCCACACCGGTATTAACATTTCCCACCATTTAATGCAAGCAATAAATGAATACAACCTTCGAGATAAAATGATGTCTATGACATTTGACAATGCAACCGCAATGACATATACTGCTAGTTATGTCAAACAAAACTTGACCGATGTAATATTAGATGGTGATGCACTTCATACTAAATGTGTTTGCCATGTTCTTAACTTGTGTGTATATGATGGACTTAGAGCAGTGGGTCCATACTATAACAAAATTAGAGAAGCTATTATGTCTATTAATAGCTCAAACATGAGATACCAAGATTGGAAGAGTTTTCTAAGACAACAAAACATAAGGGCAATAAAAATCAAAACCGATTGCCCAACTAGGTGGAATTCCACCTATGACATGTTAATCAACGCAATTGAGTACAAGAATCCATTGACAATGTTTTACAACCAAAAATTTCCAAACAATGCTATATATGAGGATGATTGGGCTAAATATGAACGATATATGCAATTTTTACAGTTATTATATAACATGACATATTGTTTTTCTTCTGTTTATAATCCTTGTGCTCAAAACTTTCTTTCAAATACATGTTTACTCGCCCAACTTTTCGCTGATCATCGCAATCAAAGTGATTATGATAAGTATCTTCCAGCAATGGAAACAAAGTGGCGTAAATATTATAGTGAAATTCCTTTGATTTATATTTTTACTTCCATATTAGATCCTAGGCAAAAGTATGAAAACACATTTATGTTAGTTGACATTTACTTTCAATGCATGCTTCTTGACGATGATGTAGAAAACTATAAAACTAATGTGAAGGATCAGTTTTTTGCTTTATATTAGTCTATGAATCCAAATATGGCACCGTTCCTCGCTCAGGGCCTTCCCAACCATCCAAACACGTAAGTAAGAAGGCCAAACATTTATTTTCACAAGCTACTACTTGATTTCAAGGTTTTCAGGTGATTCATCAATAAGGAGAACGCAAAACGATGTCTCGGAGTTGCAAATGTACCTGAGTTACGACTTCACCAAGGGCATGGACGACGACGAGATAAACAGCCTCGACCTCCTTGCATGGTGGAAACAACAAAGCACGAAGCATCCAACTTTGGCGGCAATGGCACGAGACATTCTTGCTATCCAAGTCTCCTCCGTTGCCTCCGAACGAGCTTTCAGCGCATCCGGGAGGGTTTTAGACGATAGAAGAACAAGTCTAAAACCCGAAACACTTGAAATGTGCGTGTGTTTCAAAAATTGGTTGGATGCGGAAAATCGGTCACAAGACCGTTCTTACGACGACAACGACAACGATGAAGGAACCTCCGCTTCCGACCGTTCGGGTTTGGCTAGTTCCCAATCTATGAAACTAGTCGATGACCTTGAAGACGAAGACGAAGACGAAGACGAAGACGCACAAGAAGAAGAAGAAGAATAGATAATTTTTTTTATATTGTACGATTTTTATCATTATCAATATTATCATTTTACGATTTTTATCATTATCCAATTTTTGTTTAATACCCCTGTACGATTTTTATCATTATTATCATTGTACAATTTTTTCAAGTAATAATAATATGAAGTATGCATTATTCACATCCAAAGTCCAATTTGCCCTTTTTTCGTTAAGTTATAATTCGTAATTTAATATAACAAAAATAAAATTATAATAATTAATAATACAAAAATAAATGTAATAAATGTAATAAATTATAAACATTAAACTATAAAGTAGTAGTATAAACAAAATATATAAATTTAAACATTAAATATAAAAAATAACAAAACATAAATATTAAACTTAATTTATTTTAGAAAAATAATAATATAAGATTATAAGTTATAAACTATTAATAAATAAATAAATTTAAAAAAAAAAAGGGAGGAAGGCAGCAGCCAGCAGGCCAGCACGGCACGAGCCCAAACGGCACGTGGGCCGTGCCGTGGGCTGGCCTGTGACTTTGGGCGGCACGGCACGGCACGTCTTCTCAGGCACGGTGGCCCGCCAGAGCACGTGGCCCGCCAGGCACGGCCCGGCACGGTGCCCACCTTTAGTTAGGATTATGAATAATATGTATGAATTTATTATGAGGTGTTTTTATTTAAAAAGACTTTGGTTTCAGTTTTTAGAGCATCAACATTGGTAAGGATTATGAATAATACGCTCCTTTTAATTTTCCTTTTTTATTCTTAAAATCATCCTTATTATGGTTGAAAATGCTAAAAGTATCTTTATAACAACATGAAAGGTTGTATTCCTCACGGTGAAGAGGAAAAAAGTCCTTATTTGGCGTGCAAAATACCTGATATTTGGTTTTATAATATACGAAATATACTAGTTTGTGGTCCAAACCTGCAAAATACATGATATATGCCCCGGATTTTGTTTAAATTAAATTGAAAAACAATCTTGAGTTTAAATAATATCTTGAAAACATTATCTTAAGCTTAAATCATTAAATAACAGCAACTTTTGTGTGTGGCCAGCTAACACACGAGTAACTCCTTACCAGTTAACCCATGACCGACCGAGTAACCCCTGACCAAGTAACCCTAACCGACCGAGTAACCCTTGATTGAGTAACCCCTGACCAACCGAATAACCCCTAACCGACCGAGTAATCCTTGACCGAGTAACCTTTGATCGAGTGAGTAGCCCCTGACTGACCGAGTAACCCTGGCCATTCTTTCAAATATATATATATATAGGCACACCTTGTGATTAAATTATCAAAGTATTTGGATGAATATTCCGATGAGGTTCTACATATTTCTTGGAAGTATGAGAAAGAAACCTTTTTTACAGCCAATCCACTTGGTATTATTAATAAAGTTATTGTCCCTCAATGTGGAAAGGCCTATTATGCTCCCAGGTAATAGGGGTGAAAGTAATATGGTTAAAAACCAAAAACCGAACCAAACCATCCCGAATCAACAATTGTTTCGGTTTTTTTTCCTATTCGGTTTGGTTCAATTCTAAAAAATAAAAAATAAAAAATTGGATTTCGGTTCGGTTTTGGTTTATTAATAATAGTATTCTTGTAAATTTAGTGTTGTAATCCATATAATTTATTGAATATCATAGTTATATTATTGTTTTTTTTTTTAGATCTGTTAATTAAATTTGGTTTTTTTTTTTAACTTTTTCAACAATTTGGAAAAAAATCTTAGAAATTCGGTTTTCGGTTCGGAATCGAATTAGATTTTTAAATTTGTTTGGATTGGTTTGGTTTCAGATCTAATTCGGTTTGAAAATTTCAAAACTGAATTA